GACGCTATTGTGAAAAGCATCAGCCGCGCAGCCTCTAACATCAAAGCCTATGTGATCGACAGGCTTAAGGAGGCGTTTGGGGCTCTCTCTAGGGACATCTACAAGATAAATATGCCTTATTCCGGAGTCGAATCGAGGCTGTGCTAGATACTGAAGATAGTTTCTTTCAGTGAATTGTCTTTTGATTTAACCTGTATACTATTCTCTATATCCCCAAGAAGTTAATTTTTGGTTAAGATATTCACTATGTTTTCCTTTTGAAATGAAATGACAGTTTTAGACCATATACCCTGTATAAATGTTGTATTCCCGATAGGAAGCGCACCATAGATATACCAAACTTTAAACGATATATATATATATATATATATATATATATATATATATATATATATATATATTCCATTTTAAGGTGTTGGAGACACTGTACATCAGGTCCAAACGACCTGCTCTTTGTAAACAAAGAGATTGTTTGGTTGGCCTTGCTGTGCTGCGCTTCTAGCATCTTTGTTGGTATAATTTTTATAATAATATATATATTTTTTCTCTCCCTGTCCACTCATTCATGTCATCCATGACAGACTTTTTTGTTTTTTTTCTTTATAATTTTAGTTCCCGTTTACAGTTCTGATGAGAGGGGACGAAACCAGTCGACTGATGTGTGTTTTTGTTTTTATTTTAAATCTATCATGGCCTATAATATAAAATTTCTTGCTTTTTATGCCTTAATATATATATATATATATATATATATGTGTGTGTGTGTGTGTGTGTGTGTGTGTGTGTGTGAGTGTGTGCGCACGCATGTATATGTGTGAGTATGCAAAATTTCCTTTACGCTTGTGTTATCTATGGGTTAATCGCATTATTCAATTTTTTCCCTATGTATGCGGGAGAACTCGAATAAATGAAAGTTTTGATGTATTCCTTTCATAAACCTTGACATTTATATTAGAGCTAGCATGAATCATTGCTCTTTACTTATTCCTTACGTCACGGAATTGGTTTATCACATAAAAATAAAATCCGTTTTCATAAATGTATGTCTTTAAATGAGACCGGCTTCTTATGAGGCTTTCATTTTCGAAATAGTTTACAGCTTATCATGCAATTTGCACAAAAAGAAATCATTTCCGCAAGGATTTTAAGCCTGAAAGGAGAGTGAAGGGTGGGACGAAAAACAACGCTTTTCAGAGAAATGCGTTTCAATGGCAAAGAACACTTATGTCTAACAGAGTCATTACTATATCTGTAATACACTAACTCCTTAACAAAACCGAAAGAATGACGTCATCATCATCCTATTGTCGTATCCCACGGCTCCAGTCATCAGCAGCAGTTCCAGACATCCATCACCCACATCTGCAGCTCCAGTACGCTACCTCCAGTAGGCCTTCAATTTCAGCAAAACTCCAGTCATCCTCGCAAGCAGCAACGATATGCAATAAACTATCCTTTATGGAACAAAATATTTCAGCAACCACAAAACTGTCCTTTTTCAGGACAATACCCTTCACTAACTGGCAAAACTGTTATTTTCAAAAAAAAAAAAAGTCTTTCAGCAACCACAACACTGTCTTTTTTAGAACAACGCCCTTCACCGACCCAAAAACAAATTATCACCTGTTCCCTAGGCAACAACATTCTTCAGAAATACTTCGCAAACTTGATAAACATGCAGCAGGCTCTGCCAGAATTATTTACTTCCAATACACATGGTTTTAACCTCTAAGGGCATTGCGCAGCTGGAGTCTAGAGTCACACTTGCAGAAGCTTCTACATGTTGATGGGGATTACTTTGATGACTAACGATATGTCAAATTTGGTATATACCGTTTTATTATATATATATATATATATATGTGTGTGTGTGTGTGTGTGTGTGTGTGTATGTATGTGTTTTGTTGTGTGTATTTGTGTGTGTATGTGCGTGTGTATGTGTGTGTGTGTGTGTGTGTGTGTGTGTGTGTTTGTGTGTTTGTGTGTGTGAAGAGTATTCGCGCACAAATGTTCATTTTAACAAGTTGGTAAATTCAAGCTAAAAATCCGTCGAATTTTTATTGCATATCTTGAAATTGTCGAATGAAGTCGTCGAACATACAAATAAAAAAAAATCGATAATCTGTCCAAATTGATTCTTCTCTATGTTTGTTCAAGGACATTCTACGATCTCAGTCATTTTCAAGAAATCTATATTCTGAGTATAATACAGTAGAAAAGAGACGATAAAATTCAAATTCAGTTCAAATATTATTTTCTATTATTAATACAATACTATTTTATTATTTATTAATGGATTGTATTTATTAATATTTATATTATTAAACTGATAAATATTAATATGCATTATTAGATAATAATATAATTAATAAGTAATAAATATTATCTATTAGATATGAACCTTCTATTTACAAGACTTCTTTTGATTACTGGTTGGCGGCCATTTCGTGTTTTTTTTCCGCGACGCTTCTTGCAAGTAGACTTTAATGAAATTCCTTTTGAGAATTTTGTCAATAGGTTTCTTCTTGGGTGAAACCCGGAATATGAGCTTTTATTGCTTCTCGTCAATGCAGGTTGAAATCTTGTCCTCAATGAGCTTACGTCTTTGTTCGCTGATAGAATACCGCACGAGTTTGGTTCTCTTGACTATTATAGGTGTTATATAAGACTAAGTCTTCCACCATTCCGTTGTATATTCAGTTTAAGGTCTTATCACTATCTGCTGATAAAGCAGAATATTTTGCTCGTAAATTCTCTTTCACTTCTACTCTTGATTTATCATCTGGAGTAACTGATTTTTCAATGTGCAGTATGTCCCAACAGTATGGTAGGCATATTACTTCCTCAATAGTTTACGCATTCATCTCTAGTTCCTGGGAAAACATGTAAACTTGATGGGATCTCTACGATAGTCCATAAGAAATGTGCTCCTGAACTGCCACATGTTCCCTCTTGTCGAGCAATCTCGTGGTCAAGATAAACACTCAGTTGTGGAGCAAGCTGAGTGAATACTAATTCAACATTGAGAAAGAGAGCTATTTATGGTGCAATGGAGCATCTCATTATGCTAAAGTAGGATAGTCCATTGCTTGGGCTGTGATTGGCTGCTGGTACCTGAGTGGAAGTATTTCTATATAAATACCAGCTTGATTTCTCAGTTAGTTTGCAGGGTTTGTATTAAGTTACAGCCTGCTTTAATTTTTGTCAGCCAGCTGGACGCTAGCTGGGACTCTTACGCCGGTAAGTGTTGTTTATTGTATTGTTATTCTACACCTCTAAACTCTAAAATAAATGCCTTGTTGTTTTTCTGTTTGCTGGAAATTTTCTTCTGTAGTACTAGTCATTAAGAATTCTGGCAAACCATTTTATCATTCTAGCTATCGACTTATCTCCTTCTACGTTCTACCGCGTTAGAGCAAAGTCCTAGATGCTATAATAAATTGGTTAAGCATCTCACCTCGCAGGGTTTTCTTTCAGAATAGCGATATGGAGTTCACCTCTCTAGGTGAATTGCTGATATTTTAAAAGTTATTGCTGGAAGAGCCTGTGAAGTTTTAGATAAGAACGTTGAAGCTCAGGATGTTGGTTTAGCTATCTCGAAGGCGTTTGACAGGGTTTTAGCATTCCTTAGATTCATAATAATTTAAAACACCTCTGACAAATTTGTTCCTGATCTTAATAGAAAAAATAATTATCAGCAGGGTAAATCCTTAAACAGTGAAAAAAAAATGAGAAGTGACAATCTACTTGTAAACGGGAACACAAATAATCACGTAGATAACATACTTAAAATGAAATATTTCCTCAGTTTAAAATGTTAAGCCGACCCACACGAAAGACTGAACACCTTGGAGGGAGTTATTAGATATAAAGAGCTGTCCCTGGCTACACGAGTGGTAATAAATGCTGACATAGGAAATCAATGGCTCCCCAACAGAAGAAGGCTAGGGACGATAAACAATTTCAAACACACATGTATATTTTAAATTTTAATCTGAGCGTAAAAATGTAAATAAATGAATATACACTATTTACATTATTCGGACTATTGTTCTCAACTTTGTCGCCATATTTATTACAAAGTTTCAGCCGTTGTACTGTCCGGCCTTCTCCAGGGAGTTAGAATGTTTAACTGAATACTTTATTTTGCTCATTAGGGTAGACTATTCTAGTTCCACGTGCCATTTCTGTGTATGAATTTCTGGATATTTCAATACACAGAAATTCATACACAGATATCGTCAAGGACACATGGCACAGTAGGTAAGGGAGTTAGATCCAGTGACAGGACCCAAAGATTGTGAGTTCAATACCTGGTTAAGACGTGGAGAACTTGGAGAGGGGAATTAACTAGAGATAACTGATAAGTGACATCCATTAAACATGGCTGGTGAAACTCGAACAGTATACTCAAGTGAGCGAAATAAAGAGTTCAGTTTGACATACCAACAACCTGATGAAGGCCGGAGCGTACAACGACCGAGACATTGTGATAAATATGGCAACAAGGATGAGGATAATAGTCCGAATAATGTAAACAGTGTATATAAGATTTAATTTAAGAAATATAGACAGATACTGAAGGGCCAAAACATTGTGATAAATATGGCGACAAAGATGAGGACATCAATCCGAATAATTTAAATAGTGTACATAATACTTCATCTCAGAAATATAGACAGATACGAAATGAATATAGATATATACAAAAATAAAATAATCTTAAATATAGATGGCAAGTACTAAAACATTTTTCAAGACATATTTATTTTTATGTTCACATGTGACCATCAATTCAGTAATTATTAATAAAAAAAAATTCAGTAAGGTTTGCTCCGTACAAAGCTCAGGATCCACTCGATGCAAAGGGTTACATGAAAAGGTAGTTTATGTGGAGAAACGAGGAAGGTAACGTTTAACCCTTGATTTGAACATGTTAATATTGTAGTGATCGACGAAACCTCCTCTTGGCAATCGATTCCAGAGAGAAATGCTTTGCGGAAAGATTTTGTTCGCGTGGAACTTACTGCTCACCAGTGGAATATGGAGCGAATTTTGGTAGTTTGCTACAATGCGAGTGGCATGGTGGATGGTTAAGTTTAAGTCTAGCGGAACCAAGGAATATACTTCCTCTGAGCATTTTCCATGTTATTAACGATAGAGCAGTTAAAAGCTTGCCATATTCCACCTGCGAAAAAGGAATTGGAGAGTGGGAAATAATTTGTCACCCGCACGAACACAGAGACGCTTTTGGAATCTACAGAGACTTGAAGGTGGGAAATGAACAGCTTCCGTACAAATATGACAATAATACTCCATTTTAGACTTGATATCGTTCTTGTAAATGTAGAGAATAGCATGTGGAGTCAGATAATTACTGAAATGCCAGAATAAACATACTATTAGCTGATAGGAACTTTGTGGTTGAAATTGGGTTAACGAAAATTTTCGAAGTTAGCCTGATGCCACGAGTTATTTTAAGAGACAGTTGAAGTGAACTAATGTCGTGAAATAACTGATCCCGTTGGATAATGCTTCTGAAACTGTAAATAAGGTCTGTTAAGCATAGCTGGAGTATAAACGACAGATTAACTTTCTAATTGAGAAAGAAACGCATATATGCCTTATTAGGCATCTGCAACAGAGATGCAACGCCAGCCTTGTTTCTGTAGTGTTCTTCTTTTATATCTTGATACCTTCCTAGCTTTTATGCAGGAAGTAATTTTTATCGTTTAGTTTTTCTCTATGTCCCTGTTTTCTTATGTGTTTACATGAAATCTTTAGTTTTCTAGCTGTTTTTTTTTCTAGTTTTCCTAGATTCAAGGTGTAAGAGTTAAATTCTTCATTATGTATCAAACTTAATAATAAATGACAACTGTTAAATGATATCCCATCAACTTTCTCCCCTTAAAATTACAGTGCTCCTCATAAAACGTTTGACAACCTCCTGATATCACTCACCCGTCAAGAAAACTTAGGGCCAAAAATGATGACTTGATTTTTGAGTTGTTTTTTCTTAAATGAGCGAAGGTGTGAATTCGTTTTTTTTACAAGTAAAATTGAACAGAATTCGCATATTATTAAAATACTGTAATTCCCCATGACCATTTTTTCCTATAAAAAATTTATGAGCAAAATTAGGGATACGTATTATGCACAGCTACAAAAAAAATCTTTAAAAAATTGCCTTTTCATAGACCGATTTGAGTCCGAAATGACAAACATCCGACAATTTGACATTAACCTTCGGCGAATGCGACCCCATAAGGCTATCAAATACAATCATATGTACCTAGAAATATTTACAAATGTAAAATAAAATAATTATCACAAAACTAAATCATAATAATAATATTCTATTTTTAAAAACATTTTTTTTTTAAATAAGAGTAGAAAACGCTGGCCAAATGAAATTGGAGTGGTACAATTTATAGGGTTTGTTTACCAAACAAGCGGTGCGTATTATGCGTGAATAGAAGCATTTTCTCACACTTTCAGCTCACTTTTAGGGGTACGTATTATAGATGAAGGTGTATTATACATGGGGAATTATGGTATATTAGAGATGCATGTGTAGAAACCATAAGGGTTGTTTATCACTATGAGAAGTAATGGGATTTTGACAGAAAGTATGATAAATTAAATGTAAATGCGTGTCCACATATATTTGGATATATTTGTTCTTGTATATTGGAAAGGGGTAAATAAATATATATAAATCGTTTTACATTCGTTGCTCTTTTATATATAAGAAGTCATCCATATATTTTTTAATGATATGTGTCTTCATGTGATTACGAGTCTCCACAGAGTCCTCTATCCATGAATAGATAGTGGAGTAGTTTTCATTCTTTCATTTGATAGTGGAGTAGTTTCCGGTTACTTTCTTTACCGTTTCCGGTTACTTTCTTCACGGTTTCCGGTTACTTTCCTTACTGTATCCGATTACATTCTTCACCGTTTCAGGTTACTTTCTTTAAAGTTTCCGGTTACTTCCTTTACCGTTTCCGGTTATTTTCTGTACGGTTTCCGGTTACTTTCTTTACCGTTTCCGGTTACTTCCTTAGCCGTTTCCGGTTACTTCCTTCACAGTTTCCGGATACTTTCTTTACCGTCTCCGGTTACTTTCTTTACTGTTTCCGGTTATTTTCTGCACGGTTTCACGTTACTTTCTTTACCGTCTCCAGCTACTTTCTTTACCGTTTCCGGTTATTTTCTCTACGGTTTCGGTTACTTTCTTTACCGTTTCCGGTTACTTTCTTCACGATTTCCAGTTACTTTCGTCATGGTTTTTCGGTTAATTTTTATTACCGTTTCCGGTTACTTTCTTTACTGTTTCCGGTTACTTTCTTCAGGGTTTCCCTTACTTTCTTTACCGTCTCCGGTTATTTTCTTCACAGTTTCCGGTTACTTTCTTTACCGTTTCCGGGTACTTTCTTTACGGTTTACGGTTACTTTCTTCATGGTTTCGAATTTAATGTTTTCAATCTCATAAGCTAGTAACTAGCCAAAGATAAAAAGTTTTGTCTACTTTAACCAATTTTTTTAAAATAAAATCAATCTCGTTTCGGGACATTAGGCTGTTATGTCACTCCAGTTTCAAATTGTGGCTCAAGATTATAAGTGTTTAGGGCAATTAATCAGCGCAAGGACAACCACAAAATGCGAAAGAAACTGGTGAATACCATCCATGGAGACTATCACCTAATTATCCATCGACCATTTCATTTGGTCGGAATCCGATATGGCGTCTACCAGAGCGCCTTCTTAAGAAAAACATGAATATGTATAAAGTTGCTATGAAACTTTTTAGCATTGCGCATGACATATGAGCCAAGTAAGGAAAACTGGAATTGGTAACTACGTTCCCAAGAGGAATTTTTCGAAGATAACAGTGGGCATATTTTAAAACTATATTTGTGTAATTGTTCACTTTCTGCAACATATCGTAGCCGACGCGTTTCATACTTTGATAGACTTTATCAAGGCAACAGTACTAATAAAAACAAGAAAAATGTTAGTTTTTAAAAAAAAATATATAAGAAACGCTCATAAATACTAATCACATTATATATATATATATATATATATATATATATATATATATATATATATATATATAGATAATTTCCAATGGAATAAATTATGACCATGGAATATTAGTGTTTAAGCCTTTTTATTATATATATATATATATATATATATATATATATAAGATGTGTAACAGGAAAATTGTCCCAATCGTGTAACAGCAATGTTGTCCAATTGTTAGATTAAACTTTGAACCGTTGTTAGTAAAAAAAAGGATTAAAGTTATCTTACAGAAATTCTCCGAGGTTTTTATATCATTAATGGACTTTACTATGAAGAATAAGAAGGTAATAAGCTCTAAGTTGAAATGATGATCAACTTTGCTGTTTTGACCTCCTGGGCAAGTTTACCCCTCTACTGATCTCTCTGTTTTAAACTTATTCTCCGTTCTCTTGATTGTTCTTGAACGGAACTTGAAGATGAAAGCCAGAGCGTGAATATTAGTACCATTATGCAAAGCCTGAATGATATTTTTCCTTTTGCTCAGTTGGTAAGATATAGTGGAGCTGATACAAAATGATTTTAAACTGTTCTCTTTCTAGCTGAATAACTCAAATGGTTAGTCAGCCAATCTTGCAACAAATGCTGTCAAGATAGATAAACATCTTATCTGAAAACCTGGACAAAGGACATTTGTTTAGTAGTCTTTTGATATTAAACATTTTGTGGTGTGGACAGTTATCCCATGCTGTTACAGGATTTGGACAGTCTTGTTGTTACACCCGATATGCACTTCTCTGTCTGTATTCATCTCTCTCTATCTGTTTCTTAAGAGAGATATGCATACGGAGAGATATGATATGTGGTGAGTATATTATATAAGATAAAGTAGAGAGGTTCTGATTGGATACATAGAGAATTTCCATCGGGACTGAAAACAACTTCTGAACATGTCTGATATCCCATTTTTGATCAGGTTTGCTGATGTAGTTCGGGCCTAGAACATTCCAGCAACCATGTGAACAAGCCTTTATACACATTTCTCGAATGCTTAAAACTGCGTAGATGAGTACTTAAATGTAAGGCCGAACAGGAGATAAACGTCATTTAAAATAACATTTGAAATGTAATTATGAATTATTTCAAGAACATGAAAATATTAATTTAATTTTCACGCTGAACTGAATATCCGTTTCATATCAGCGTGTACATTTTATATTTATTCTGCCACATACACACACACACATTCTCTCTCTCACACACACAGAAACACAAACACACACAGAAACACACACACATATATATATATATATATATATATACAGGGTGTATCAGAAAACCTTTAGAAACTTTGGGGGCAGATTTCTCACAAGAAAACAAGGACAAAAGACCATATAAATGCATGCTTGCAAAATCTTTGGTTTTTGAGTTGCGTTGCCATGAAGACAAGGTTACATTTGTCATTCGTGTACGTATATATATATATATATATATATATATATATATATATATATATATATATATATATATATATAGGGTATATCAGAAATACTTTTACAAGCTTTGGGGGATCCTCACACGAAACCAAGGACAAATGTCCATATAAACGTATGTCTGCAAATCTTTGGATTTTGAGTTATTAAGTTTAAAGAAAGTATACGGTAGATGGCACTGTGTTGTCATGTAGACTAGGTTATATTTGTCATTCGTGTACTTTTGTGGCTAGTCTGTCTTTAACATTTAACGTTTGTAATATTGAGTTAACTGAGAAGTGTTCCGTTTAACAATGGCAAGATATTCATACCATGAGCCAGCAGATAAGATTTTTACTGACGCCGTACGAATGGTAATCGACAGGAGGCTGCATGACTTTATCAGATTGCACTTCCAGACCGAATGCAACAAAATCATCCAACATTTACTGCTGTCTATCTCCACCTTGCTGAGACAGTGTCCGGTAATATGGTAATAAATATTTTTGGATTGTATCTTGGATTGTAAATTTAACAGCATTATCTACACTAAACCTGAAACTTAATAACTCAAATGTTTTCAAAACACTTAAGAAAGTTTTATGATCGAAAACACTAGAATTCTATATAAATCACATTATCAGAAACATCTCGCTATTAGAAAGGCCCTGTATATCAAACATTCCTCTCCGACTATCAACCTCATCATTTAACAATGGATATGGAGTGTGTTAATTTTTTTTTCCAATATAGAAAGATGCTCACGCGAATTCCAGCCGTTCGCAACATGTGAAGGCTCGGAATAAAAGCTCCTATTCAAGCAAAACAAAAATAAATTACAACGTAATAATGAAAACATGGAGAAAAAATAACTACACCATAGAGAAAACACCCACGAAAATGGCTACAGAAGTGGCCGAAAGCGCTTGAAACAATAAAAATTATGGAAAATGTTTGTACTAATGAAAGATATATGAAAGCAAGTTTTCTGCCCATATATATATATATATATATATATATATATATATATATATATATATATATATAATATTAGTGGTAAATATACATACATATGCAAAATATATAAATACCCATACATGTATATTTTAGAATGTATATTTTAGAATAAAAATTCCAATTCCGGAGTTGTTTTTTCTGTTTTCTTTTTGAATTTGTAGGTCTGATGAATTGGATCGTATTTACGATGCCAATGGAATAAATTATGACCATGGAATATTAGTGTTTAAGCCTTTTTATTATATATATATATATATATATATATATATATCTGTGTGTGTGTTTGTGTGGCAGTAGATACATACATACACATATGTAGGATGTACATATACATATATGCATCAGGATTATTTGACGAATTACACATCCCTCCAAAATACAAATATTTCACATATTTTTTGCCTTACAGAAATACGCTCTTTTTGGGAAAAGAAAAAATACAATATCTGTCACATGATAAAATGGTATAAGTTAAAAATTAATTTTACTGTATGCTATATTTAAGGGTTAAAATGCTCAATATCCTGAATAAAGCATATGTAAAAGAGGACATTGAAATCAACACCCAGAGGCGATATAGATGTTTCATGCTTAAACGCAACTGCTAGACCATGTGCGTTGTGCTCGACTATTTATATATACTGGTCAGTGATATTATTAGGCCTATTCTATTATTGTAACGGTTATCTGGGGTACGATAACAGTTATATTTTGAAATTTCGAGGGGGTTTGAGTAGAAATTATTGTTAATCCAGATAGAGTTTTGTGGCTCTTTTATAAGTTGTTTGTTAATTCTTTATAATTTATTATTGAACATTTTATTGTTGGTTATTATTATTATTACGTTTACTTGTATTTATATGTGCGTTCGAAGTTTCTAATTATTACAATATTGGTTCTAGAATCCATTTAATGCTAGAATTCAGTTAATTCATTGAAATCGTTTTTAATAGTTTTATTTATACTGCAAAGAAGTATATCTAGCAAAAGAGGTTTTAAGGCTTTTTTTCACCGGACAGGTACCTCAATTTCAACTCCCACCATTCATACAGCGTAAAGAAAGGGAACGCTCACTTCTTACAACACCGATCAAAAGTCATAAGTGGCAACCCAGGGACATTAGATAAAGAATTGGTCAGTGTAGATAGTACCCTACAACGTAATAACTACCATGGGTACATGGCAGCAGCTCCCAAAACTGGGATAGGCGGGTACAAGAGGATGACAACAACACTCAGAAAACAGTCTGCCTGCATTATGTGAAGGGGCTATCAGAGAAATTACAAAGGATCTGCGGTCCATATAACATCAGGATAACCTTCAAAAGCTTGACAACACTTCACAGATATCTCTCCTGAGTAAGACCCCCCTCCCCGATAGAGAAGAACATGACTAAAGACTATGTGTACACTATCCCGTGCATCTTCGGAAAGAAATATAAAGGGGAGACACGGTGTCCCTTTAAGGTAAGGCTTCAAGAACACCAAAAAGCTGTAACACGCGGGAAACCAGTCATACAGAGTGCCAAAGAAAAGCGATAATAAAAAAAACAAAATTTGCAGTATGAGTTCTAGTAGAAACATGCAATGATAACAGCAGAAAATTGCAATATGAGCACTGGTAAAAATGATTTCTAAAGACATAATTATAATACCCTGAAAGTCATACACAGATGTTCTCAAGGACACATGGCACAGTGGATAAAGGCGATGGTTAGATCCAGTGACATATCCCAAGGTTTTTGAGTTCAATACCAAGTTAAGGCAGAGGAGTACTTTCAGAGGGAAATAAACAGCTGATAACTGACATCTCATAAAAACATGGAACGTCGAACTAGAATAGTCTGCCCAGTGAGTGAAATAAAGAGTTAAGTTCGACATTCCAATCACCTGAAAAAGGCCAGACCCTACGACGGCCGAAACGTGATAATAAATATGGCGACAGAGATGAGGACAATAGTCCGAATAATGCACGTAATAC